GGGATGAGAGCACCGGAGCGTCTGTCAGGGAGGAAAGGCTGAGAGACCCGGGGCTGCTCTGCGGAGGGGGCTCAGGGGGGGGTCTGATCCGTGCGGAGCAATATCTGAGGGGTGGGGGTCAAGAGGAGGGGGCCAGGCTCTTGACAGGACAAGGGGCAGCGGGCGGAAACAGAACACGGTCAGCCCTTACTGTGAGGGTGACAGAGCACAGCCCAGAGGGGTTGGGGAGGCTTCTTCCCTGGAGGCTTTCACAACCCGCCTGGTCGTGTTCGGGTGCAATCAGATGTAAGCTGAGCCTGTTTGAGCAGGAGGGTTGGACTAGAAGATCTCCAGAGGTCCCTTCCAACCCCTGCCACTCTTTGGTGTCCAACTGGGTCAGTGTCTATCTCACCCGGCTGGCAGCTGGCTGAGTCTATCTCACCAGGCTGGCAGCTGGCTGAACCGTTCTGTTCCAGTGCTGCACTTTGTGTAGGATGTATGTGAATCACAGACACGTTTTGTTCTGCTAGAGACTGTGTGGGAAAAGCCCAGGTTCCCCTCAGGCAGGCAACGGTGGTGATATGAAGCCATCAGGTTCCTACTTGCCTGTCCCGTTAGATGATTACACCCCGTTTCTCATTCCCAAAATGAGGATGGGAATGCATTTGAGATCCTGCACGTCCTTGGATGCACATTCTGCCTGGGGTCCATGTGAGGACAGCACCTTGGCGTGCACCATGCTCCCTCCCCCTGCCTGCTGACCTGAGGTGAAGGTCAGAGAGGTGGGGTGGTGTGCCCACCAGCCTCTGCACTTCAGGTTCAGCCTTAACTTGTGGCCACTGACCAGCAGCTTGCCTCTGACCGTGGCTAAAAGCTCACACCTGGAGGAGAAGCTCCGGGTGAAAGGTGGGTCAGTGGCCACCTTTGCCCCACACTGCTGCTGGTGGGAGAGGTGACATGTCTGACACCCTTTATGCCATACCTGAGGCTGCATTACTCGGCCTGCAGGAGATCCATCTTCCCATACTGTCCTCAGCTGGGGCTGGGCTGAAGCGTGCTCGTTCCTGGTTGGTACAGGGGTCTGCAGGCCAGGCTGGGGCAGGGTGCTTCCTCTCCTCCTGTTGGGGCTGGGCCAGGATGCCAAAAGGCAGGAGTGAAGCTTCATGGAGCTACAGGGAGGAGGAGCAGATGTGCCTGGGAGCTGGCAGCACCAAGCTGGTGATCAGAGCACGCGTGAGAAAAAGTGTTTCCAGAGCTTGTGCCAAGTCCTGACTCCGTGCATTGCTTAGGGCAGGATTTGAGGTTCCCCCTCTCTCTGGTGTTACCTGTTGACTGGGCAGCTCCACCCTTGCTGTGACGAGCTGCCCGAGTCCCTGTGTGAGGGTCCTGACTGGCACGGGTGCCAAAATCAGGACTCAGACTTTGAATGCTGGTGGTGCGGGGCTGCTGGCCCAGACAAGGCTGGATGTGTAGCACGATACCCTGTAGCCCAGGATTTGTCACATGAGGATGACCTCTGCCAAGTTTCCCCTAGAACTGGGAGTTGTGTGGAGGTCATCTCGGGCTGCTGCTGACCTCCTTGGCTGTGGAGGCTGATGCAACGACTGACCAGGCTGCAGGCGTGGTGGAGCTGCTCACCCAGCAGTGAAAGCCCTGCAGGGAACAAGGGGAGGGCACTCGGCCAAAGAGTGCTGGGAGGTGAGAGGTGAAAGGAAAAGAAACCAGAATGCTATTCACCTTGCCCAAAAGGTGAAAGTCCTGGGTCTGATACCCCCTCTGCAGCTCCCTGGTCTGCCTGCGTGCTACAGTCTTCATCTTTGAAGCAAAGTCCTTAAAATAAAGTCTGTGACTGCTCATTGCCTGATATCTTAGAAGTTCATCTCTTGTATGCTCTTGCTGGATGACACAAAACCTTGAACTTTACACACTGTTCTTCTGAAGTGTAATGAACAATTTAAATTCTTCTCCTGCCTTTACTGTTCTGAGGCACCACCCTCGCTGAGAGGAAGGTGCTTTTTTGTTTGAAGCACCTTGACTGGTAATTGCTGAGCTAGTGCTCCCTGTTGCAACACCACGTTCACCACCCACTGCTAAAGTGCAAGCTCTGGAGTCTGCTTGTTCTTCTGTGGACACCAGCACCACAGTGTCACAGCACCAGCAGAGGTCATCTGAGCAGCTTGCACGTCACTGAACTTCAGCTGTAAAGGTCTTAGAACAGTGATCTTGAACTTGCTAACAGGGATACGTTACACGCTGCCAAAGTAACAAAGGGATTTTGTGGTTCAGGTTCCCACCAGTCCCCCCTGTGGCCAAAAACTCCCCACACCACCTACAATACTCCTGAAAGCATTTCATTTGCAGCCCAGGCCCTCCTTCACCCAGCCTTCCCTGGGCTCGCCCTCCCTCTGATGCAGGTCAAGCCCCTGGGATGTTTTCGCTTGTGAGCCCAAGCTCATGTCTCAGTTCAAGGAACTCCTGGTACATTAATTGAAAGGATGGAGATGGGGAGAAACATCCTACAATTAAATTCCCAATTTTAACTTTCTTGGAACTGCTCAGAGCCACTATTCCCCTGGCTTATACATGCAAAACATACACTAAAGCAGGTATTTTTTAGTATCTTTAGAAGTACCCATTTTCCTAAAGACAAGGCCATGAGGCTTCTGCTACAGGGTATTTATTTTCTCTTTTAAGTAGGTTTATTAAACTGTTAGGGCTCCCATCTATCTATATATATAGAGAGAGATTCTATCTTCAGGCCCTAGGAAAGGTTGGGTAGCACCCCAAATCTGCCACAAGATGTGAGTGTGAGGTGACAAGTCTCTCCTGCTTTTAAGTAACTCAAAGGTACAAATAAGCTCATTTAAAAACTGCTGTGGGCCAACAGAAGCACAACACTGAAGATCTTCTCCTGGAGGGTACCTTTGCAAAATGCATTCAGAGTCAGTAAGTGAAGTGGCAGAAGGAGGCACAGCAGTCCTGAGGGCTCCTGCCTGGAAGGTCTAAGCCAGCAGGAGCACCTGCCTGCTCTGAGCTCCTGAAAGTGTTGCTGCTCTGGGGGCAAGTGAAGCTGTGATCAGAGAGTGCTATAAAATGTGCACCTGAAGGAAGGAGTCCCCCTGCTTGCTGCTCTGGAGGCAGGAGGCCCACAGCCTGGAGGTGTCCCAGCGAGGCACAGGGCACTGGGCTGTCTCCATTGCAGGTGGATGCTGCACATGAAATAAGGAGCAGGCAACATTAGTCTCCCTGCCAGGCTGTGTGCTCCGTGAGGGAGGAAGAAGTGCACCCTATTCTGTTTCCTGTAACACGTGCAGAATCTTAGCCCTGCTATTTTGGATTAAATACTCCTTCCTTTCCTGCATGATGTCTTAACCCAGACCGTTTCCACACTGCTGGAAGTTCCCAGCCCCTGATAACAAGCAAAACATGATGAGACTGGACAGAACTAACCCTACCTCTGCATCCCTCTTACTTTACCTCAGATTCAGGAGCAGGCTTTTGCACAAACCCTAGATTGCTGGCACGGGAACAGGGTTGTCTCTGTGAGGCACCTAAGTGGTGAGGAGGGTCAGGGTGGGCATCTCTAACAGCGTTTCTCCCCTTTGCAGTGTGTTCCATGGGAAACAGCACCAGCCGGCTCTACAGCGCGCTCGCCAAGACGCTGAGCAGCGGTGCCGTGTCCCAGCACCAGGACTGCCTGGAGCAGCCAGACCCAGCCCAGCTGGAGCCCATAAATCCCAAGGATTTGCTGGAGGAATGTCAGATCGTCCTGCAGAAACGGCCACCCCGGTTCCAGAGGAAGTTTGTGAACCTGAAGAAGAATGCTGCCAGTAACCACCACCCCATTCGGGTCATGCAGTGGAACATCCTTGCCCAAGGTAGGAGCTGCCTCTGAGCTCACAGGGGTGACCTTGGGATTAAAGGCAGCAAGGAACACCTTTAAATGCAGGTGTGGCTACATAGTTAGGCATGCCTGGGACTGGCAGAGCAAAGGGAGAGAGCTGAATTACTTGAGGCACAACTGACTGAGGGCCAGGAGAGAGATTTTCAGCACTTGAAGTAATAGTGTGCCTTCCATGCTATAGGAAAGGACAAAAGGTGTCCCCTTGCAGCTGGGGATGCCTGCCTTAGCTGAGCACAGTGTGTTCAAGAGGCTACAGCCCACCACTTTTAGATAGTTGTTAACCCCCAGAGAAGACTCGTCCTTCCTTAATTTTTATTCTTTGTAACACTTCTCTACACTCTACAGTTTTCTAGTTAGCTTATCAGGGACTCACATCTGTTATGGGAATTCCTAATTCAAAATAATTTTGATTTTTTCTTAGACCCCTTCAATCAAGGCTGTAAATTGACTTATGCAGCAGTCTCATCTGAATCTTCTGGGGTTGGAAATGTCCCCTGTAGGCACTGCCTCAACGTTCTGCAGTTGAGTGATCCCTATTCAGCTGCCTTTTTTCTTAGGCTTAAGTTGTGGCAGCCACACGTGGAATCACTTGCCACAGTGTAGTGACTTCTGGGAAGAGGGTGCAGAAGTCTTTAACTTGTTATCTGTAAAAGGAACTTAATGATTTTGGAGAGACTTCAGTGTTTTGAGAGGGGCTTCTCGCACCTGTTGGCAAGCCTGGCACACCCTTACACCCAGCAGCTCCTCCTGAAACGCCCATTTTTCCTGTTAACTGATTTAAGAGTGTTCCTTGGAGAAGCAAAGCATCCCAAAAGCCTCATGCCACTTCCCGGGGCAGCCTCCTGCACTGTGACTGACTCCCTGCCCTGCTGCAGTGCTGCGAGCAGCTGCTGGCCCCCCAGGGCAGGGCCTTGGCTTGACCTCTGCAAAGCCTGGAGGAGCACGGCCCATTTTAACCATCAGTAACTTTGATTTTTTCCCCCACCCTTTCCTTCTAATTTCAGCTCTCGGAGAAGGCAAAGACAACTTTGTTCAGTGCCCCATGGAAGCTCTGAAATGGGAAGAGAGGAAGTGCCTCATCCTGGAGGAGATCCTCGCCTACGAGCCTGACATCTTGTGCCTGCAGGAGGTCGACCACTACTTCGACACCTTCGAGCCGCTCCTCAGCCGGCTGGGCTACCAGTGCACCTTCTTCCCCAAGCCGTGGTCGCCGTGCCTGGACGTGGAGCAGAACAACGGGCCCGACGGCTGCGCCCTCTTCTTCCTCAAGGACCGCTTCGAGCTCATCCACAGCGCCAAGATCCGGCTCACCGCCATGAAGCTGAAGACCAACCAGGTGGCCATAGCTCAGACCCTGAAGTGCCACGACAGCGGGAGGCTCTTCTGCATCGCCGTCACCCACCTGAAGGCCCGCACGGGCTGGGAGAGGTTCCGCTCCGCGCAGGGCTGCGACCTGCTCCAGAACCTGAAGAGCATCACCCAGGGGGCGAAGATCCCCCTCATCGTCTGCGGAGACTTCAACGCCGAGCCCACCGAGGAGGTCTACAGGGAGTTCTCCAACTCCAGCCTCAACCTCAACAGCGCCTACAAGCTGCTGAGCCCCGACGGGCAGTCGGAGCCCCCCTACACCACCTGGAAGATCCGGCCCTCGGGGGAGTGCCGGCACACGCTGGATTACATCTGGTACTCCCAGCACGCCTTGCACGTGAACTCGGCCCTGGGCTTGCTGACTGAAGAACAGATCGGGCCCAACAGGCTCCCCTCCTTCCATTATCCCTCTGACCACCTGTCCCTGGTGTGTGACTTTAGTTTCAATCAAGACCCCGACAGGCTGCTGTAACCCCTCCGAAAGCCACCTGGCATTGCAGTGTCTTAACTTGCCACTCTTTGATTTTAGAGAAGACTTTTGAAGCTGGAAGCTATTGAAGGATGAGGAAATACTGTTGATTAAACGTTATTTCGGGCACTTGTTTGGAGCTACACTTGGTGTTCGGCGCTTGTTAATCCAGAGCCTTCAAGGGAGGAAGAAAGGAGCCTGTGTTCTCATCGTGGTGTTCTTGCCGTGTCAGGGTTTGAAAACTGGAAGGCAAATGAGCTTTATCCTTTCACTAACCCCCATTTAAGGATCTAATCCTCTAATGAATGTAGAGGCCTTAGTATTTAAATCAAAACACTTGTGTTTGTACAACAACTCACCCTGACAGCATGCTAATTTTATTTATTTCATGTTAAGCTTGTGCAAGTACCAAAGGGAACGAGGCTTGACTGCTCAGTGAGATTCTCTTAAATCTTTTTCTGTTGCAATACAGAGGAATTTTAATGCAGTTTAGACACGAACAATCTAAGCTCACGTCAGTGTCTTCTTCTCATTTTTACATGACTTGAGATGATGATTTCCTTAGAAGTGAATGGATAGTAGCACAGTGAGTGAGGAAGGCTCCCTCAGTAAGAGCAGGTGAGGACACAGAGGCTGACTACTCTGCATGGTATAGCAATATCCTCACTTCTCCATAAGAATCTGCACGTGTCTGCCACACACCTGTGGCCTGTAGGTGTGTACACACAGTGACAGTTACCTCCATCTCTTCTGTGCTTTCCTCCTGAGGACACACCCCACCAGGGAGCATTTCCTCCTCTGCTTCAAGTATTACTTTTCTAAATGGTTTCAATTTGTAGTCTCGTCAATCTTGCTGTTTGAGTAAAGGGCCAATCTCCGTGTTGAAAGACTTTCTTTTATTTATCTTCAGAAATCTAAAAACTACACTGGAACCTGTTAGAAGATAAAATTTATTTATTGAGAGAAGTTGGTGATCCTGCATCTGACTTGAAATCATACAGCAACAGTGTTGAGGAGCCTCTTTCTGTGGCCTGAGGGAACTCTGGCTAAGAACCTAGGCTCCAACAGAGCTGTGTTAGTGTAGAAGCTCTTGTGTGTGGAGTGGTGCTCGTTGGTGTGAAACAGGTATTTCATATATGGATTGTAAATGTGCCACTGCTGGAAAAGGAGGGAGGGAGAGAAGAGGGACAGCACTTGGAGTTGGGCTGACATTTAGGTAGTTGGGGTGGACAAGGCAGAGCAAACAAAGCAGCACTTCCATGTAAAGTAAGACTCGTAGTAACTCTTAAATGTTCCAGGTGTTTATTAATAAAAGTCTTTGGGGAAAAAAAAAAAAGTCTCTGCTGCCATCTTTTTCCCTTCCCTATCATAAGGTGATGTGTCTGACACAGTGACTGTTAGAGCTTCAAGTCAGTGGTGATGCTGCCCACTGCAGACCTCTTTCCCCCAACCCCACAGTCCTGATCTTGCAAGTGGGCCTGGCTGCTTTGCTTTCACCCTAAGTGCTCTTTCTCAAACCTGAAATGCCCCAATTCCACAGCCAGTCTGTAAAGAAGGGAATTGCCTTCAGTGATGTTAAGCTGCTTTCTTCCCTAGCCAAAGATGACACCTAGATTCTAATATTTACAGTAATACACTAATTTCTAACAGTTGTGTAGAGCTACAAACTGTGCAAGAACTCATCCCTGAGGACTGCTAAGCTAAATGCTCCTAAAAGCAACACCACAGTGTAGACCTAAGATGGTGCCTTTAGTAAAGCAAAATCCTTGCTCATCCACCACAAAAAGTCACACCAGAAGCTGGAGTTTCCATTCAGAACCTTTTGTCAGTGTCTAGAAGAAACTACGCTTGTGGTAGAGAGGATAATACTGTATTAAAAATAAAACACAAAAAACCCCAACAACAACAACAAAGGCCTTAATGACATTTGGTACCTGGACAATTCTTAGCTATTTCACTCAGACCCCTGCTTTCAGCACCTGTTCTCCCCCAGAAGAAACCCAGCTGCAGGGCACCAGCACAGTCTGTACAGTATTGCCACCAGTGCAGAGCTCCTGGGGTGCTGACTTCACCCTGGACACGTGATGGTAGATGTTCACTGCTCCATGGCCTTACAGGGCAATTCTGCAGGCAAGGGGAGGGTGGAGTAACTGTGAGGAGGCCGTGGACTCTCCCCATCACACAGCAGTTCTTAACACTCTGCTCCTCAGACAAACCACATGTCCCTGCTACAGCACAACAGTCAGCTCTTCCTGCTGCGTTTCAGTAAGAGGTAGACAAGGTGCCAAAATTATCTGGTAACTTCCCAGACAAACCACGTGTCCCTGCTACAGCACGACAGCTCTTCCTGCTGCGTTTCAGTAAGAGGTAGACAAGGTGCCAAAATTATCTGGTAACTTCCCAGAAGTCAGCTTCACCCTTTTATTCCAGTACTTGCTATGAAATACACTCTGCTGACTCTCTTGGAGAGCTTCAGTGGAATGCTGCTCTTTGTTTTATTCAGCAAGAGGCAGGCCTGCAGCACCAAAATGCCTCTGCCAGCTCTAGATACCGGTACACGAAATATTTTTAATAGAAAGAAGCAGGAAGGTGGTGTGGGTATTTTTTTTTCCTGTGTAGCAATATGACTCTTACAGTAAAAATGTCTTCAGAGGTCTTCTTGTGGCTGCCTGCCCTATAAGCACACCAAGGCTAAAAAAAGCCTCAAGAGATCCCTTGCTCTAATCTTGAATCAAAGCTGCAGCAGTGACAGTTTTCCCTCACCCTGGAGCTAGCTGAAGGAAGAGATGACCCACTTATTTAATTTGCTGAAAGGCAGAAGCAGTTGCAAGCTTGTTAAAACACTCTCTCTCTAGGAGAACAATTAGATCAGAAGAGGATAGGATAGTGTCACTTGGATCTTCTTCCCTTAATAAGCTTAATACCTGCTACTTGAACTGTCTCTCTGAGGCAGAAACTGAATTTAGCTTGTTCTGGCTGGGACAATCTTCACATGTAACCTGCTGCAGCTGTCACAGTGTGAGCTGAGGTTTCAGGCACCTCTCACTTTCTCATTAATTCCTGACTGCCCCTGGCTCACTAGTCCTTGATCAACTAGGGTGTAATTCTCAAAGTCCTAGCATTGATGGAATCAATTAGCAGAGGATGCCAAGAGCTCAGCCTGCCCTGCAGCTCGCTTCACCCAGATCACTTGAGTTATGTCAGGGCACAGAACTCTTCACAAAGAGAGATGGACTTTGTCCAGGAGAGAGTAACCACAACAGTGGTGGGATTCTCATTTCAACTTTCCTGGCCACAACTCAGAAATTTATGTTCAGATTTTATTCTGAGTTGCAACTCACGGATTCTTTTTCCACAGCATTACCTTGTCCATCCTGTATCTTTATTTGCAAAATAAAAATGTTTATATCTGTAAGATCAGTGATAGTACAGCTGTGTACATCTCAATGCCTTCTGTATCAAGCATGCTCACTTCACACTAGAGCTTCACTCCACAAGGAAAGGTCAACAGGAAGGGTCTTCACTGTCTGGAGCCAGGTTAAGTACCCTTTCCACATCAGTTACAGCACATCCCCACACGGCTGGAGAGCCTGAACTTCTCATAAACATCCTGATGAGCATGTGCTGCTCACCGGGTGGCCAGGGGAGAGAGCCCAAGGACCATCAGCAGCTCTGTGACAGGAAAACAGCACAGACTGACCGCAGTGTCTCTGACCTGCCCATCTCCCTGCAGACGTCGCCTTCGTTCCTTTCGGTTCTGCCATTCCAGGAGGTACCATGTCTTGGCTCTAACTTAAGAGGAGGAGGTCAGCAGCTGGAGATCCTCATCTATTTCCAGGATGATAGTTTGTCCCCATCTGACTTCCAGCGTGTCTAAATTAGGTGTTGGAAAGGTCTTCACTACAAATACTCCAGAGACAGACATTTCGCGCTCTGAAATAGAGCATCTCTCTTTCAAACACCCTCAATTAACAGCTATTTAGAACAGGATTTTTAGAGAAAAGACTTAAAAATGTGGGGTTTAAAATGCCATTATTTTTCCCTATTCTTGTCTTCTAGCTCCTATTTATTCTACCTGCCCCCCTTCACACTGCCCCATTTCCCTTCAACCAGAACATTAATGCCTCTCAAACTATGAAATTAGACAACCCATTGCCCACCTTCCCTCTACTTCTGTTCCTGTCCTACCTCTTTCTTGGCAACATAAATCCTCTTCCTTCTCCTGCATCTCCTGCTGTGAAGGAGTCTCTGTCCTCTACATCAGGCCAGAGACATAGCTCAACTGTAAGAACCTTTGCTTCTCTGGGTTAACTGCTGCTGGAAGGGACTGCTGCCTTCTGCGTTGCACTTTTTCATTCACTGGTTCTTAAAACTCTGCTTCCCTGCTTAGAGTACAAAAAAGAAGCCCTTTTTCAGAAGACTTTCAAAGCTCCTCATGTGGAACTATTCCTACAGTTACTAGTCAAAGGAAGAATGAGGCTTACTACTAGGACTCTAAAGGCAACTCAGTTTTAAAAGTTGAATGGAACAAATGAACTCCAATACAGATATTTAAATCTGGTCTCCTTTTTCATTCCTAAAGACCTTAGTTCCAGACTTCTGTTGAGATTGCTCCTCCAGGCATGAAGTACTGAGCTGGTCATTTAGACTTAAGATTATTCCAGGATTGCCCATGTTCCTGCTCTGAAGACTTTCCAGGGCATCTCCCTAAGAGCTGGGGTTGCTAATGGGCACCCAGCTACTCATAAGCTCATGTGCTGATTCTCTGGTAGCTGTTGTAGTGCCAGTGTCCTCAGGAGAACAGGGTAAGACCTCCTGCATCTATTTTAAGCAAATTCTTGCACATGGACTACAACTATGGAGCAATCTGTGTACTGTGTGTTCTTACCCAAGCTTACCCTGCAGTGTATCGTGATACTCCAAAGTTCAGTGCAATTATAAAGGGAAAACCTATTACTCCATTCAGAAAAATCCCACCTGCATATATTAGTGCCAAAACACCAACAACTGGAAATATCAATGGCAACAACATCAAAAGGACCATCAGTCTAACTTCCTATTTCCCTTTTTTTCACAGTTTCTACCTGCTGGTCCTTTCTACTTGCCTCTATGAGGTCATTAGAGAGATGAGTACACTGTAGTAGCCACATCTGCTCCTTTGCAGCGCAGCCTTAGGAAATGAAGGTGGAGCTGGAGGAACAGCCAGGTAGTCCCCCAAGCTCTAGAAGTTATTGATTTCTCTTTGAAGCAACTGTGAGCACACACAAAGCAATCACCTGTCAGCTGGCAGGCAGTAAGAGGAACGCTGCGTCCACTCGCCGTCCTGAAACAGCAAAAGAGACCCAGGCCCCTCTCAGGAGTCACCTCACTCACTACCACGAGCTTCTCAAGAGACTTCCAGGGAAAACATTTCAGTACACTGTGTGGGAGAGCTGGTGAGCTGCCCGGAGTACCAGTGGTGAGGAGTTCCAAACTTCCACCCAACAACAGCTATCTTAGGCTGAATGCCTGGAAGGTTTCAAATAAGCAGAAAAGAAGGTTAATGGGTTGAAAGGAAAAAATAAAAAGCAGACCAAACACCATTAAATTTGATTTCTATATTTCAGTAAAACCTACTTGAATACACTTTGAAACAAGAGTACAACAAAATAGAATATACTTCAAATGTTGAATATACAAACTATTATAGTTCATTCTGAACACTGGTACTTCCCTCTTAACTTCAACTAAAAAAAAAAATAAAATTTACAGGTTTAGAACTACCTGACAAAAGCTCATGCTGGGCGTGACCTTTCGAGTGACAGAGTAGAGCTGAAACTGAAATGTATGCAGGGATGTCAAGGCTAAGTGAGAGACACAGGCATGGTACAGCACGGCCGACAGCCCGCTGCTATTCTGTCCACAATTCAGAAATTCAGACAGACTTTTAACTACCATACAAAATATGTTACATGTAATTCTATAACAATACTGTGCTAGGTACAAGATTTTTAAAAAATTTGTTTTAATAAAAAAGCTTTACACAAACAAGCCATTAGCTTATTTCAAGAAAGATAACTGAAAATCAGTCTAAGGCTTTCATTTTGAATCTGCTTAAGCTGTATGAAACAAAAAATCCCTCCAGGTCTCTGTCTTCTTTTAGAAGCTCTTTAATCTTCTCCTTTATTTCACATTCTACAATACCTAATAGCAGAGTTTTTCACATAGCACCAGTTGAGTACTGTGGGCACACAGTAGAAATTGCTGGTATGCATATAAAATGCATCAAATTTGCCACCTGTAACAACGTGACTTTCCTCTCCACCCCCCCAAAACCTCACAACCAAGGCAAACCTCTCACACAACTCTCCTTTAGTGTTCCAGGTCTTAGTGTAACTCAGTAACGTAGTGAACTCTGTTTGGTCCCTTTTCAGTCCCCCTCTCTCTCTCTCTCTCTCCTTCTCCATAGGTTCAGCTGTTTCCCAACTGGAAGAGGCAGTTTTTTGTCAGCATCTCAATGTGGTTCAATTCCCACTGAAACACGGGAAAATAAACTGGTTTTTTTTTTCCAGTAAGTCTTCAACACAATGCATGTTTATTAACATTTCCAAAACTCTCCTTTTCGACTTGGTGATCGCATCCACTTCCCTCCCCCAATCCTGTCAGTATATTCCAAACCGTAACAGCCTAGAAGTCCACGCTGGAAGCAAACTGTTCTTCACTTCTCACACGTCAGGATTCCTTCTGTTTTCATTGTTACAGGAAGGGCAATAGCTGAGGGTGTGCTAACTACTACCACGTGGGTCACAGTCTTGCTTCCATCCGCTGGCTTCTCTTCTTTGACCAGCTGCAGCGTTTTCACTTCACGTTCCTGTTTTAAAGCCGCCGTGTCTGACTTAACTTCCGGGCTTTTTATAACTGCACTAATCACCCTGGGAGGAGTCTGGCCAGCCGCCTGCTGAGCAGGCACTGATAGTCTCATAACTGGTGTCCCGTGAGCTATGGACACTGGGGTTAGTGCTCTAACAGCCAGGGGGGTCCCCACGATGTTAATACTCCCCGAGCCGGACAGGCCCGTTTTTGTTTGTAACTGACACTGCGTGAGCTGCGTGGCAGGGATCGTGATGATTTTGGCAGGCTGCATGGTGATTTTGTCTCCGTTCTCAGCAGAGGTTGGCATCACAGTAGGGATTGTCTGGATGACTACCTTTGGAGTCGTGGCTGGCGCGGGGGTCGGGGTTGTTGTTTAAGGGGGCCCGGATTGTCTGGAGGACTACCTTTGGAGTCGTGTCTGCCGTGGGGCTCGTGTTGGTTATTAACGGGGACCCCGCGTTTACCGACTGCACGGCCACGGTGGAGATCTTCTGTCCCAGGGAGGTCATGACCACAGGCACTTGCATTGCCACACGTACAGTCCTGCAGAGTGAAGAAAGAGGGGTGTGTTTAAGCCAAAACACAGGGCACAGGCCTTTCTCTATGTAATTTTAAAATACTGGCAAAGGCACGCTGCCAGTTGGCTCTGATCTCATAAACTCGACTTCCATAGCGCTCTAACGTGTTGCACTGCTGCTTGCAAATCAGAAATTATTTCCACCATTTAAAAAATAAAAGGACAGCTTCACAACAAGAAAAGTGCTTGTCACTAGCAGATGATAAGCCCAAGGCAGGGCAATACCAACCTGGGAGCTGTGGTTGCTGGAACAGTAGCAGCAGTCGTTGAGGGACGAGAGGAGGATGTATCATGCGCTGGTGAGGCAATGTTCACAACTCTGGTGACTGCTTTTTCTGTTCTGGTACAGCTTAACTGGGAGGAATTTTTTCCTCCACGTGCAGAGGTTGCTGCTTTTAAAAGGTTTTCTGCAGATAAAGACACTCTTTACTTTTCATCCGTAGGCAGGGACAAATCTTCACTGCAGGGCTCGCTTTTGTCATCATCTATGACAACTATATTTTTTGGCATTTCCTTAAACTGATAGACAAGCCTCTGCCCCTCAACTTTTGCAAGGATTCCTCTTTGATAGTAGTATCTGCAAGAGAAGCATAATTAAGTGGTAACCAACACAGTGACAAATTTTTAAAGAAAACCTCAGTCTATGCTAGCAAGAACGTCTGAAGTAACCACAGTAAAACTGACAATGTGAGAAGGTATGGAAACAAGCTGGCAGAGCATGCTGGCAGAGAGCATCTGAAGCATAAAAAAGCATAAAAAAAATCATAAAAAGCAACAGGAACTGCAAGCCTCTGGTGCTTTTTAAACAGCTAAGTCACCAAGAAGGCAAAGCTTTTAAAATTTCAGTACACTTCTACAGGAAAAATAAAGAATCAGATTTAGTATTAGAGTAGATAACTTAAGGATATAAAAGTTTTTACCTCAGAGCTCTTCCCATAGTCTCATAGTTCATGTCAGGTTTGTTTTTGTGTTTTCCCCATAGTTTGGAGACAGCTTTGGAGTCCACAAGCTTAAAGATTCCCTTCTCTCGCTGAGTCCATTTAATGTATCGTGGGCAAGTGTTTTTGTCCTGGAGAAGGTCCAGAAGGAACTCCCATAAGTACGTTGTATTTCCTACAATCAAAAAGCATTTAAATATTAGAAACCCACTTTTAAATAAAACAGAAAGTTCTCCATATATGAGTAATTGTGAACGACCTGCATGAGAAGCACGTTACAGAGCAGATGGAATGTAAGGTAACCTGCAGATATTCATTCACCCAGTTACCTTTAGTAAAGCTTCCATAAATATTCACATTCTGAAAGGAGCTGATCCAAGGGATCTGCTGTCACAGCACAGGAGCCTGCTCAACCCCAGGCCCATTCTCAGATCTCAAAAAGAAGTGTGGGCGGGTGTTCCAAGTCACTACAACCTACATCTGTTCAGGACCAGAGCTCAGAATTTTCTTCCCTCCTGTTTGCTTCGAGAGGGAATGGAAATGCCAGTGCGTTCTGTGACACTGACAGGTGAGAGGAGCCAAATAAGTCATTTTTTAAAGGCACAAAACCTTCAGTAACAAACCATCTCAGCTGTGCTAAGTTGGTAAGGTCACCTCCTGCCCACGACCTGGGGCTCTCACACCACTTGGTGACAGCCCCATGTCCTGACCCTTCCCAAACACACGTTGCAGAGCGACCAACATTCCAGGGGGTGACATGGGCCAAACAAAAAAACATTAAAATATTTTTTTTTAATGAAAAAAGGTCAATAATTCCCAAGATTTAATTGCCTAGCACAGCACTTGTCATGCCACACTGAAGCCAACTAGAATACATTAAGGCAGGTGAAAGACCACTACTGCAGACTCCAAGAAGTTATCTACCTTTGAAAAACCTTAAAGGGTAAGAAAAAAAACAAATTACCACCTCACAGACAGGGAATCAATGTATTTTGCCATGTCCTTCAATAAGCAAGAAGTACTAACTCAAGAGCTACCAAAATCCATCTCCCACTGGATTTCAGAGACATTTGAATAGGACTTAGATGAGGAAAGAGTCAACAAGAGAATTTGGGTATCCTGAATCAGCCTAGATTTTAGGGATTTAATCCCCTTTTTCTTTCCTTAGCTCCTCAGAAATAGAATTCCTGAGTCCACTGTAGGTCTGCAACAGATTCTCTGCAAATATAGAGGTGGGCTTCAGTATTAGGAAGTAAACAGGAACTTCCAGAGAAATCATCCCTGAAAGTGCCTCATTTTTCTGCAGGAACAGCACTCTTGACTCAGCAGTTTTATTTTCCCTTGTGCTCTAGATATTGACCTAAATAACTTTTTTTTCCCATGGGAAGGCCATTCAATACCTGTACTGCTCAGAAGCCATCTACTGGTGTCAGTAAGACCCAGTGACACTTCAGGTGGGCTGCCATGTCAGCATTTAACAGCTGTGTTATGCATTTAACACAAAAAGCTTCTGTTAGACATGTTGAATACAATTTCAAACCATTTTTAAACGCTCTTTGAAACCAGCCTCTCACAGTACTATGAATCTGAGCTTACAGACTCCTGGGGAGTAGAAAGACATGGCTGTAACATGTATTATCTGAACAGGTTCACACATCTGGGCCACTGTGAAGCATCCTTAGGCCCAGCCTGGTGGACAAGCACATCCTGCACCTGATGAGGAAAGCAGAAGCTGATTTAACAGCATACAGCTCACCTCCACTCCTGGAAGGTTTCAAGCTAACCACTGCTGTCAGCAGCCACAGAGCGAGGTGTTATTATCACTTAACTTCCATCAACTGTCACATTGCTGCCAGTATCCACGTGGAGAAGCTCAAGGCCAGTTTCACTCCCTCCAACTGCCCACACTTCAAAAAAAAAACTATTTATGCAAACTACAAACAAGATGTGGAAAAAGAAACCATGCTTAAATTGCCAACCCACTGCATGGGGACAAAACAATAATACTGTCTCACTTTAAAAGAAAATATTAAGAAGTCTCCAGTATAATAAACCAAAGGGCACACTTAAGTCAGAGTTACAGCTGGCCCCAGGAAGCATCAGGAGTGCACAAAGGAAGGGGTACCCACATGGACAACAAGTGACTCCCTTTCCAAACATCCACTACCAGCTGTCCTCCTCCTCCACAACTTGACTCTGTTGACAGCATTGAGCTCTAGGAATAATTCCTGGTTTCCCAAAAACACACTGCATGTAAAATAGCCTATATTTGCAAGTAAATTTTTAAAATAAATAACAAAAAAAAAATAAATTCAGTGACAAAATACTTTGCAGGACATCAAGCTAGCCTACGTTAAGGAAAAAGATGTTTTATGTCAGTTGTAGTGCAAAACATGGAATGAGATACCTTGTGAGAACAAGAGACATAGGTATATCATTATGATAAAAAATAATTTTAAAAACCCCAAAGCAGAACCACCTCCCACTTCAAAAAACAAACAGTTATAGACTGAATTCACCAGTACAGGCAAAAACTAGAAGAGACAGAAACACAGGCCTCCTTTATCAAAGTTATTTGTGCAGCAAACTGGGAACTGGGACACTTTACCATTACTGTTTAGATAATGGAATACTGTAATCGTGAAATCAGAATTAGAAAGCAAGCTAGAAAAGCTTTAAGAATCCTCAAAAAACCTCAAACAAACAAAAAACCCAAACAAACAACAAGATGTACTTCTAAGTACAGCAGATACAAAACCTGTGCTCCTCACCAAGGCCTGCAGGGGAAGGAACTGCAGGGAAGTTTAATTAGTGTTTGTGCTGGTTTTCACAAGCCAACACTTGCATGACGTCAGCCCCATTCTCCCTTGCCCTGCTGACAGATGTGAGGACTCAGGAGCTGTACCCAGATACAGAACTATGTAAGCAGCAGAGATCCTGCTGTCAAACAAATCCCAAAATAACAGCGGAGCCCAGCACCGCTCGCTCCTTCAGCTGCCACTGAAAGGCACTAAACTTTATTTCTCCAGCCATAGCAACGCCTCCAAACAACCTTAAGTGCAGTAAGTGGGGAATAGAGCCACATTTTTCACCTACAACCAGAAGAGTCAAAGAAAGGACCCACTATTTATCAGGAGAAACATCAGGAAACTATGACTCTCCTGCACAAAAGCCCTCAACTCTACCAGTAAAGAAACATACCATCAGTTTTTTTCCCCCTTAAGCCAAACTGAGTCTATTAGTCAAGTAACATATTCCCACTGACATTTGTGAATCAACTACAAAAATATATTTCCAGCTATTACCATTGCAAATGCCCATAAGCTGCTTCTACTTGAGAACAAGCCTTTCAGCAGTAGCTGAACCAATTATGTGACTAGCAGTTAAGTTAACACAGAACACAAAAGACAGCACGAGTCAATAAACACAAAGCAAAGCAAATGAAAGACCAGAAAGTCTGGTTTTAACTGCTGAGTCTATAACAAGGCATTTCTGCAGCAGCTCCACACATCCTTGGGCTAGATCTTGTACAAACAAATTGGAAGACATCGAATAAAATTAAAACTCTTAATAAAAAGTCCATACAAAATTTCCTGTAGAAGTACAACACAAACTGCATAATTTTAAAGACTCAATAAATGGAAAAACATACCTTTGCCTTCTCTAGGTTTCTTCTTTATACCTAGATCTGGAGAGCCATCTGATACAGCCGATTGTTGGGTCTTGGGTTTACGGCCAGCTGCACGTAAAACACAGGGGAAAAAGGCATTAATCACATGCAGAACAGAAGTCTTTTAGAATTTGCTGAAAGAGGCAGTTTGTGCATTTTCTCCCCCTGCCATTACCTTGCTACAGATAATGATAAACTTAAATTCTTAGATTATTACTATTGTAAAAAAAGTTTAAATCTGGTTGCTTATTTCGTCAGCAGATTTAACTAAATTTCAGACAAGTTAATGGCAGGTGAGGCAAGCACCAAATATATAAAGTAAAACTTGAATTTTCTTTTATTCTTTTAGCCAATGTCTGCTTTGCTCTCTGAAATGTATTAGTCCTTCTGCTTTGTTTTTGGTATTCTAGTGTGGGTGTTGATCAAAGCAGCATTTTTCCCAAGGCATTTTACTACTGAAATCATAAACACTCACTTCCACCTTGCACCTGTCTGCTAAAAGCTACAGGTAAAAGCTCCCACAGGAGCAGCACAGGGCTGCCCTGCCCCACAGCTCCCAGCACCTCCTCCTACCCTCCCTCTGCCCCTGCCCCGAGGCTCAGGAGGGGCCTGGCTGCTGCCTTCCTGTGCCAGGGAAATCCTCTCCCAGCACCACCTCCTTTCACACTTCAGTGACCTTTCTACTCAAGGGAAAGGCCCAAGCAGGGAAGATGATCATGCCCACAGCAGTGGGCTGTAAACAGTCCATGCTTCTGCCTGCAGTTAACTCTCTCACCTTAGGCACAAGAGCATTAGTTTTTGCTGGTGAACAATGTTCTTCATTCAATACTGAATTTCAAAAGGCATTAAGTCCAAAGTTATGGCTCTGTAACTACAGCTGCATGACCTTACATACTTCAGAGCAGGAATCTGGACTCCCTAATAGGAAAAAATATTTACAAAATAACCTTCATAAAATTTCAGAACTTCCTGAGCACAGCCCTGTACCACCATCTGCCCACTAATGACCATTCAAGACAGAGAGCAGGGTCACAACAACCCCAAGCAATGCTCCAGGCTTGGGGAGGAGTGGCTGGAAAGCTGCCCAGAAGAGAAGGAGCTGGGGGTGCTGGCTGACAGCAGGCTGAGCAGGAGCCAGCAGTGTGCCCAGGTGGCCAAGAAGGCCAACAACATCCTGGCTTGCATCAGAAATAGTGAGGCCAGCAGGAGGGAAACGATTGTTCCCCTGTACTCAGCACTGGTGAGGCTGCTCCTCAAATACTGTGCTCACTTTTGGGCCCCTCACTATAAGACAGATGCTGAGGTGCTTCAGTGGGTCTTGAGAAGGGCAACAGAGCTGGTGAAGGGTCTACAGAACAAGTCCTGTGAGGAGTGGCTGAGAGAACAGGGGCTGTTTAGCCTGGAGAAAAGGAGGCTCAGGGGAGACCTTATTGCTCCCTGCAACTACACAAAAGGAGGCTGCAGCAAGGTGGGTGCCTGTCTCTTCTCCCACATAACAAGTAACAGGACAAGGGAAAACAGCCTCAAGTTGCACCACAGGAGGTTTAGGTTGGCTATCAGGAAAAATTTCTTCACCAAAAGGGTTGTCAAGCCCTGGACCAGGCTGCCTGAAGGGATTTAGAAGACATGCAGATGTGGTGCTGAGGGATATGGTTTAGCAGGGACCTGGCAGTGCTGGGGGAATGGTTGGACTCAATGATAGTAAGGGTCTCTTCCAACCAACACAATTCTATCATTATGATTCTATAAAGAAATAGTTAAATCCAATGTACAACGACAGCTATGAAAAAGCTTTATTAGTACTTTTGTTGCTTAAGTAATTCACAGCAGAGTTACAGTTATCTGTTACATGTGTGTTTTTATTAAATCTACAACTCACAGATCTTAGATTTGTTATCACTCCACCACTAAACTGCATTTTCTTTCCCCTCTAAATTGCAGGTGTATGTTTCATCTTAGCATGTCTGGAAGCTCTAATAAAACAATATTCCTGTAGTTATGTGAATTGTATTGGTGCCTCTAAGAAAACTGCTAGACCAGAGAGAAACCTCACCAAGTGCCAGCCTCTCACTTGGCAGCTGAATGCTCTGAACTTGAAACACTGTCCTGAACAGTTCCTCCTCCCAGACATGCCAATCAGACAGATAAGGTACTTGTCATGAGGAAGATCTTGTACTGATTTATGATACCCTAAGTTAGTATTTACCCTGCTGTTTCACTGCAAGAACCCTGAGTCTATCTGCTCTCCAAATACATCTGTATTTCAGACATGAGTGGAGACCCACACAAGTCCTCTCTGAACCCTTCTCTACCCTTCCACCACTTCACAAACCACGCTTAAAAAACACACCACCAAAGACATCGTTCTCCTTGGTGACCTGGTGAAACCCATTCTCTTGCTACTTTTTCCTTTTTCCTTGTGGCAGACCCATTTTCTAGGAATTTGCATTCCAGACTCAGTGAGTCTGATTATATGAGCAGAGAAATCAGAACATCTAACCCACTTCCACCAGCACCGACCGCACCGTCCGTGGCAGTGCACATCAGAGATAAGTTCTGAGATGGCTCCTCCAAAGAGCCAAACGTACCTTTTTTCTTTTTCATTGGTTCATGGATGTCAGGGGAGGTTGGAACAGGAGATGCATCCATTGGTTCTGACTCCTCTGTTGACACCTCCACCACCGTCTCTGTGATCACGTCCGGTCTCATGGCCGCATGGATAAATTCTGGGGTTGACAAACAAGGAGGGACAAAAACTTCCACTATGAGGGAAGGAGTGAAAAAAAGTATCTCGTGAAGTTTCTATCTGATTACATGAAATTAAACAAAGCACATGAAACAGTATAGCAAGATTCTGCTCCAACAACCTGTCCCCTAGACAATCAAACCCATCCCAAAACCAGGCATGCTTCCAGTACTGTGAGGTGTAAGACCAGCATCACACCAGTACCCTTCAGAGCTAAACCCAACTTAAAATGAAACCAATTAGAGCTTACTCATTGATCCTTATTCTGATCTCCATTTCCTATTTTGTAGCCTTTGGGTTTCAGTTTGACCATTATTTCATGTAACATATACTAGGTAACTTCAAGTTAAAGCAATCCATCAAGTTTTGTTTTTTTAAAACTGATAACACTTTGCAGCAGAGTGTACTCAGATATTCTTTCAAAAATAGGAAACAACTGTTAAAAATACTTTCCCCTTAAAATTACTCTTTATGTTAGCAATTTAAAATGTCAAATTCACAGAATCACAGGGTGGTTGAAGTCAGAGGTGACCTTTGGGGGACAGCTGGTCCAACCCTCTGCTAAAGCAGGGTCACCTAGGACCAGTTGCCCCGGACCATGTCCAGGTAGCTTTTGAACATCTCCAAGGATGGAGACTCCACAACCTCTCCTGGCACCCCTTCTGCACCCCTGCTCGGTCACCCTGAAAAAGTGTTTCCTGATGTTCAGATGGAAAAGTTCACTTTAAACGTGTAGCTAGCTACTCTAGAATCTTTACCCTATAACCTGTCCCAGACAAATGATTTAATTCCCAAGTGTGCTTGTTATGGGGTGCAGGTACCATGTAAAAACTCAGACAACTCAGTACTTTTGACATAAGCAAGCAAATGTTTTAAACAGCATGCAGTTCTCCACAGAAGCAAGTTTCCCAATTTGCTTGTTTTACTAATTAGCAGAAGGAAAAATGGCTCAGGGAGCAGAAACTGTGGCTGACATACCAGGACTCCTGGCATCTCTCAGGCAGGTAGGAGACTCCATATGAAGCAAAGCCTCCGCAGCCTCAATGGTCTTGTCCGTGCAGTGCACATTGCTTCCATGAACTGAAGCCTCCACTGCAGAAGGACAAAAACCACTAATGAGAACATATCACTTAGAAAAACCCTTATGTATCACTGCACACCTGCACTAAATCCACCTGAAATGTGAAAATCCCAAAACAGTCAGGTGTCTTCACACCTTTTAAACCTTCCTGTCAACAGAAATGTTTAGGGAAGACATGAGACAAGCAGAACCAACACTGTCACTTCTTAGGTTAGATTTCTGGTTCACAACCAAGTTTCTCATTTCTGTGAGGTGTTCAGCAGCTCACAGAAGCAGACCTCTGGGACTTGTCTTCTGCCTTCAAGTTAACCAGAACAAACCAGACTGTAATGAGAGTGGTGACAAACTAACTCAGCAGAGCATCTCCTGCTATTAGCCCATTAAAATTTGAAGGTCACCTCCACTCAGATTTTCAGTCTATTTGGATAAATGTATATACATAAATAGAATATTAGTTTGCAAAACAAATAGATCTCATTTTGTTTTCTGGCATTAAAAATATCTGAGTCAGTTTTAGCAGGCTTGGTTGTTAAAAAACACAACACAAAGTGTAATAAACAGTATGTGGGGGTGGAGTTTAAGTGATAACTAAGGGAAGAAGTTAAAAAGAACTTATTTTTTCCCTCCCAAGTCCTGAAAGTTTACAAAACTAAGCAATGAATCAAAAATAACATGAAGTAACTCCATCCAAGTTGGAGACAGCGCAGACGACAGCACCTTCAGCACCACAACAACACTAAAAACCCCGTGCTTATCCACTGCCTAGAGCCCTGTTCCCAGAGGACTGCAGGCAGGTTCCTCACCCTCGCAGGGGATTTTGGAGGCGGTGAGTGTGGGAGCACCTGCTGCTCGCTGTCCCCGCTCCGGCCAAGGTACTCCAGAGCCTCTCTCCATGTATGGCCATCTGCTCCAAGCTGCAGCGCTCCAGCCAGGCTGCCCGCAGCCCAGCAGAGCTATCTTTAGCCTAAGCAGGGTCACCTACCTCCAGCCCCAGAGCACTAAAGAGGATTCAGGAATAATTCTCTACAAGAACTTCAAGGCATCTATCCTGTTGACTGGAAAGGGCTAAGAAACGACTTGAGGTTCGGTTAGAGCCAAGCAGGGAAAATGCTGCTCGTGCTGCTTCTGACGTGAGAGAACACCAGAAACAAGAGGTTCAGGCAGACACATGGGGGGAGGGGAAACCTTCCAGCACTCTGCAGTTTATTTAAACACAAGGATTAAAAACTTGAAAAAACTTAGCAGCCAGCAAACTAAACGTATAAATGGGAAGCTGAGGGTGAATGAAACCTGGAAGATGCACCGATGCAAAATTCTGGGTGACCGAAAGGTCTCTCTGAACCAGCTGGCTGCTGGGATTCCCACCACAGCCCTCTCCTGGGATGCTATTTAGGGGGCTTTATCTTTTGGAATAGCAGATGCCTGATAAAGCTGACATTCCACCACTGCTTCACCCCAGCCTGGGAACAAGAAAAGCCTACCTAAGAGCAGAGGAAAATCACCCTAAAGGCAAGGGTCTCCGAGCACAGGCTCTGCCACTTGGACAATCACCAGGAGTCTTGCAGGGTGAGCTGCAGATCCTGGGTGCTCCCCGTGCCTGGGCAGCTGCTGTTTCCTTCCCAAGCAGCAGTTTGGGGGTGTCCCGAGTCAGGAGGCTGAACACCTGCACTGAAACCAAGTGGCTCTGCAGGAAGCCCTCTACTGAAACGTTTTTCTTTCTCAAGAGAAGTTGCAGTTGCAAACAAATTAAATGAGCAAGTTTCCTCTCAGGTACCAGATAAAACTTTCCACTAATCATCAGAATACAGAAACAATATTCAGCTGGTCATCACAAATTTATCAACTCTACACCAATGCTGAAATTACAAAGTCCAAATCAACATTTAATACATTATTATTCTAAAGCACCAAAAAAAAAA